GAGAGAGAGAGAGAGAGAGAGAGAGAGAGAGAGAGAGAGAGAGAGAGAGACATACACACACACACTACTCTCCCCATGCACAAAAGACAAAAAATATGGCAATGCATCTTTCCATGTTCTAGCGGTGGATTCACTTTCATTTGCACATTTGGAGAGGAGTGCAGCCAGGCCCATAGCCTTGGGAGGCCAATCCTCCCGCCTTCCCTCGAGTAATCAATGCCCCGGGCATGGTATATTATTAGGGCCTCCTCCCGCCTTTCCCCGAGTAATCAATGCCCCGGGCATGGTATATTATTAGGGCCTAGCCACACCACTTTCGAAACGAAAAACAAACGAATGTTTCTTCCCGGGGAGAAGGGGGAGATGCATCCGTTACTATGAATAGCAATGGATGCATCCTACCAGCTTTCTGCGGCAGATGCATTAGTTCTCTTTTCGTTTCGTTTCCACAGTGGTGTGGCGCGGCCCATACTCCTGACAGTCTATAACCCTGCACCACTTTTCTGGTTTTCTTTCTTTTCGCCCTGCAACAATCTGACGGTGTAATCCCGCCCTGCAACAATCTGACAGTGTAACCCCGCCATTGACGACGTGAACACGGTTCTGGCTGTTTTTTTTTTTTTTTTTTTTTTTTTTTTTTTTTTTTTTTTTTTTTTTTTTTTTTTTTTTTTTTTTTTTTTTTTTTTTTTTTTTGAGAAGTTGTCGCTTTATATTCAAAGAAATAATTGTGGTCGAGGCGGGGCACCTCAAAACATAGCTTTGGCTTCCGGCTGGAAAGTGCTGTTGGCCACAAAAAACGGCCGACCGTGATTGGAAAGAAGTTGCCGCGTTTTGTTAGGACCCCACTGCAGCCCAAGAAGTTGCCGCGTTTTGTTGGGACCCCACTGCAGCCCTCTACTTTCGGCACTGGAAACTCTTCGACATGCCCGATTAGGAAATCCACCCGGGGTGTTTCCCGAAAAGGCAAGTAGGCCCGGGATGTGGTCCAGACCCTTCTATCGGCATGCACCAGGACGACGGTCTGTGGTTCTCGCCAGCGTACTGGTCCACAAAACGGTCCACGACGATGGTCCATGGTTCGCGCCGTCCAGCCGTTTTCTGGAAACTGTTTGACATGCCCCCCCGGCTACTCGTCTGGAGGCGTCCTTGGAAACGGCCAGGAAACTCGTCATTTCCAGACCGCGAGCCGAGTAGAAACGCCCCGTAAGCTTTTCCACGACCTCTTTCCAACCGCAGTGGGGTCTGAAATTCCTTTCCGGGCCCACTTTCCACAACAGTTTCCAACACCTGTGAGGTCTGAAAAACACTTCCTCGCCAAAACTTTTCCACGCCGCCGGCCAGTGGGGTCCAAGCCTTTGTTACCTTTGTATATATATAGATATAGATATATCACAGCCCCTCCTTTGTTGTCCTCTTCTCTCTCTCTGCCTACGGTTTTACCGGGCAGTTCTGTTTGTGACGATATATATATATATATCGTCAAATAGAACTGCCCGGTAAACCGTAGGCAGAGAGGGAGAAGAGGACAACAAACGAGTATCGTCTTTTGGACGCTGGACCCGTTGTCCAGCAGATGCTGATCCCCACTAATAGATTGCGGCGTACCGCCCAAGTCCCAGGCAGTACCCGCATCCTTCATTTCTGGCCGGACACCGCAGACATTGGGCATCGCCACGCCACTCTGGAAATGTGCAAAATGGCAATGAACTTCCGCCTCAATTTTGTCTTGTTCACATTTCGAGAGTGGTGCGGCGAGGCCCATTGAGGTCGGAAATGAAGAAATTCGGCACGTGGGACCTGTCGCCGGGGCCGTCGTCCCATTAGCAAAGAGCAGCGGATTGAAATGCCTGAATCTGGACGTGTTTAAGGACAGGAGCAGGAAATCGAGATAGAACTGCTTTTCTGTATATCTGCATAAAAACATAGCCAGATTCAGGATTTCTATCCTATCCCCTTCGCCAGTGGGACCTGTCTCCGGGTGCTGCTCCGCAAAAAAAAAGAGAGACACAGGGGAAAAAAAAGCCCTCACACTACCGATAGGACTTTTTCCACTGAGCTCTGGACTCCCTTGAAGTCAGATAAATCCCCGGAGGACATCGCGCTCTCATCTTGATTCAGGAATGCACAGAGGCAATTCTTCGGGTCACATAAGTATATATTGTCACAAGATATCAGAGCGCAAAAGCGAAGAAAACCAAGAAAAAATGAGTTCATTTTTTTATCTTCATCTTTACAACTCCCCCTGTTATATATAGTCACGAGGAGGGTGGGCTGTGTTCCCGGGAATAGCCAAACAAGACCACAGCAGCAGAAGGGCGAAGACAAAGGGCATCGCCACACCACTGTCGAAATGTGCAAAAGGAGAATGAACGTCCCGGTAGAACATGGCCAGGTGCACCGGCCACATTTTCGTTTTTTTCACACTAAGTCTTCCAGAGTGGTGTGGCGACGCCCAAAGACAGCTGCTTGGAAAAGCAACAGGTCAAAGAGGAGGACGAGGAGCAGGAGAAAGAGAGGGGGAAAAAGAGTAGAGAAGAGGAGGAGGAGGAGGAGGAGGAGGAGGAAGTAAACAAGAAGTATGCCTCAGCAGCCGATTCTCGATTTCCTTCATCACATCGTTTTGCCGGTCTACGGAGGACAGGTAGGCAGGGGATAGTCAGTCGTGGGTTGGCTCCTAGAGATGTAGATCCTACCAAGTAAAACAGCTATTTTAGGAAAGTAAAGGCGGCTTCGGTGTGTCCCCTCCCCCATTACTGCTTGTGTACGGGGTTAAGGACGGCGATGGCATTGCTGACAATGACCACCACTCACGCCGGTGGCTCATGATCGTATTATGATAAGATGACTAAGATCACGGGGAGGACAAACAAAGAGGCAAACCAACTGCAAAGAACACGCACCGGTCCGGAGGAATGTAGGTAGAAGGGGCAAACAAAGTTTAACTGGAATCATTGCGCAAATTGAATAGAGAAGCTTAACTGGAATAGCAACACATCGGTAACGGGCTTGACGGCGTTGCTGACATTGCCTGACAACTTGAGAAGTAACAAGTGGACAACCACTCACTCACGCCGTTGATTCATGATCATTAAATTTTGATAAGATCAAGGGGAGGAGGACGAAGACGCAAACAAACTGGAAACTGGAAAGGGAAATAAACCACAGTGACTGCGGACGTGGACGTACATGATGAGGGTAGACGGGTCTGAACTTGTGAAGGGGGAAACCAAACTGGAATCGAGACTCGAGAGGCAAACTGGAATTATAGCAGCACACATCGGTAATGGCCGTAATGGCGTTGCTGGCAACGAACGACCACTCACGCCGGTGATGGATGGATCATATGATATAAGAACAAGCGCAGGACGAAGAGGCAAACAAACTGGAAAAGGAAATACACTACCGTGTTCGCGCGAATAGAACGCCCGGTCAGTATCGCTGCATCTGGACTGAGAGGTGGGCCAAATGCGGCTATCAGTACCGGGCGTTCTATTCGGGTGAAGAGGGTAGTCGAAAAGAAGTGGGTAGAAGGGGCAAATACACACAAAAAAACTGGAAGAACGTAGATAACGGTACATTTAATTTCTGTATTTAGAGGGGCAAACTGAAAAAGAAACACAGCAGTCACGAAGAGTGTAGGTAGACAAAAAAAAAAAAAGAAAAAAGAAAAAGAGCGTAGGTAGAATTTCAAACTTCGAAACAAAGGGAGATTGACTGGAGGACGTCAGCGGCCATACCTCCTCCGTCGCTCGAACAACGCGGCGGTCACCCCACCGCATCGACGCAGCAACAGCGACGACAAATCAACTCCTCGACTAGTCGACGACGAAGACACACGCCTTGCTTGCGTGGTTCAGTCTGTAGATTTTGCACCCCTCGACTTCATAGCTCGGCGCTTGCGGATGGGCACGCTGTCGCCGACGTACGGACGGACAGAGGAAAAAAAAAGTGATCACACTCCGGCACCTACTATCTACTATGTCCTTGCCTTTGCCCAATCACCACTCACAGTGCTCGCAGCGCTTCCGCGCAGGCACTGACTGCTTGCAAGTTGGAAGTTGGCACTGACTGCGTACAAGTCACAACCAAGTTACAACCATGTTGCCTGCCCCTGCCCCTGCCCCTGCCCAAATAACGAATCGGATTGCCGACGGACTAAGGTAAACTGGTGGAGCTCACAGTCCGCAGGAGAGAGGGAAGATGAAAATTTCCGCCGGATCACTCTCTGAGCAGGCTGGAACTCACAATCGGCAGGAGAGAGGGGAGATGGAAATTTCTGCCGGATCACTCTGTGTGCAGGCTAGTGGGCTCGATGATCCCGCTGGCGAGCTCTCCATAGACTCCAACCACAAGCACAACATGCGCGAATCGTAAACGGACTCAGAACATCAAGCAGGGAACTAGGTCGTCGATGACGACGAGGACGACAACGACGACGACGACGACGACGACGAGGAGGAGGAGGAGGGGGAGTGCGGAGCTTAGTATAGTAGCAGGCAATGGTTCCCGGCTGTCAATAGGGCAGCGGTCGGATTCTATGGTGTCTATCTGACAGAGTGGTGGCAGAGGGGAATATATTAGTAGTGTGCAATCAACGGAGGGGAGAGCTGACGGAAGAGAATGGAAGCGGTTGAGAAATTGCGAAGGGCAGTAAAGGGGGGCCATCACCACACCAGTGAAGAAGCGACAAACAATGCGAGTGGAAGAGTGCATCTTCCCGGAGAAGGTGGCTGTATTCATAGGCTAACCAATTTCTGGAGGACGATGCAGTGGCATGTTGTTCGTTTCGTGATTGGTGAGGCGAGCCCCATACTCACAGGATTATGTCCTTGCGTGTATATAATCGCAGTTGCGGCAACGTTCGTCTGAGGAAAGTTCTAGTGCGAGTACGGGCTAACCGAGGCTACCTGAGCTGCAGTGAAACCAAGGAACGGGCTATTCTAAGAAGTGAGCGAAACGATGAAGAGTCACGGCAAGGAAACCGAGAAATTGCGATGTGGGGGAACAGTTCTCCACATAAGGAATGGCGCCGGAATCGGGCGCCAATCATGACTGTCACCTCGCTGCAAGCAAATGCTGCCTCAATAGGGCGGTTACTATGCCGGCAAGCCCGTTGCAATCTCTCTCTCTCTCTCTCTCTCTCTCTCTCTCTCTCTCTCTCTCTCTCTCTCTCTCTCTCTCTCTCTCTCTCTCTCTCTCTCTTTTTGTGTGTGTGTGTGTGT